TTGCTCTATTCTGTTCTGGAATAGAACAGAGCATTATGCTCTGTCAGCTAACAGAGCAGACTGGCTTGCCATAGTTTCTCCGTGATTAGGTGCCTAATACCCCACTCAATTAGAAGGATGTGACCATAAGTTGTTGGGTTGTGACACCTTGTTAAGACCACGAAGGATGGAACATAAGTAACCTATCATGGTTAAACTCTGGTTTGATGTGCTGAAATGCAACATATTATAACACATGGTAACATATTACAACATATCGTAATACATCGTAATACATTACAACACATTAAGATAAAAAAGGAGGGAGGAATAATTATATAATTACAGATATTTCTTATATATTTAATTACTTTTTCTATAATTCTTTAGTTATTAATCTAAGATTATTCTTTTAAATATAATAAGAAGATTTTAAGCCTCTTTAATACATAAAATATATTTAATTATTTAATCTATTATTAATATTATTATTTTCAAATTAAAATATCTTAGATTAACTAATCTAATAATAATTATATCTTTTTAAGGCATAGGTTTATCATATTTTAATAACTTTTTAATTAATATTAATATTAAGTTAAGAAATGACATAAACCATTTATAAGATATCCCTTTATTATTATTAATTAAACCTTTTCTTATTTTATTAATTTTTAAAGATAAAATAAAAAACCTTTATGCTTTTTAAAAATTATCTTTTAAAGAATATTATAATTGGATATAAAGCAAACTAATAGACCCTGACCTGAAAAATGAAAAAGAATTAAATAAGGAAGAATTTTAAAATAAAAACCTAGGTAATTTATAATAGCCTAATTTATTACTATTTAAAATATCTATACCTATTCATATCATTTAGGACCTATTATTAATAAAGAAAATATTTTAATTTATTAATAGGATAATACTGTTACAACCTAACAAGAGGAAGGCCAGGGAATAAGGACCTGGTGGGGCCAGGGTGACCAATCAGAGGAGGTCTTTATAAGGGCAACAGAGACTATATGTTAAGGCTTATATAATGACCTCTGGAGGTCTCTGGGAATATCATAGAGATAAATAAAGAAGAGGTTTCTGGGAATATCACAAAGACAAATAAAAAGGAGGTTTTTGGAGGTCTCTATCTAGGGAATAAAGACTACTTAAATGAAGGATATATAAGAAAAAAGTTTTTTATATATTTAATCATTCTTTTATAATTCTTTAATTATTAATCTAAGACTATTCTTTTAAATATAATAAAAGGATTCTAAGCCTTTTTAATAAACAGAATATACTTAATTATTTAACCTATTATTAATATTGTTACCTTTAAATTAAAACATCTTGGATTAGCCAATCCAGCAATGATTATACCTCTTTAAGGCATAGGTTTATCATATAAAGAATATTAATATTATTTATTATAAAGATATTTAAGGATCTAGATTATAAAAAGGTAATTAAAAAAGGATAGGATTAGGAATTTATATAATAATATTATAAAAATATATATAAAGTTATTTATATATTATTTTATAAAAAAATAAAATATAATCATTTTAATTAAATATATCCAGGGATATCTAAGATAAGTTATTCAATATTTAAATATTATCCTAGATAGACATTATAAATAAATATTATTATAATATAAAGAAATAATTAACCAATCTTAAAAAAATATATTATATTTGGAAAATAAAATTATAACTTTTTAAAAAAGAACTAAACAATTGGTAAACCTATTATAAGAAATGCTAAATATAATTAATAAATAATAAAATCTAATAAAAAAACTATTAGGAATCTTATAAATAATATTAAATGAAATTAAATTAACATATTTAATAGGAATAGCTAAAAGATCTTACTTAATTATAAAGATAATATAGAAAAAATATAAATTTAATATTTTGATTAATTTAAGATATATAATTAATTTAATCCACTTAAAATTAATTAATATATATAAAATATTATATTAAAAAAAAGATGCCTTATTTGTTGGTAGGTACGTACGTAAATGAAATGAAATAATAATAATAAATGAAGAAAATATGGGGTAAGACTGGTATTATATTATTGTCTAAGGAAGAAAGATTTATTTACCTAAGTAGATAAGAAGGTAACCTATTTAAAGAGAATTATGATAACTAAATAGATCACATATCTTTCACCTATACAACCATCACTCACTCTATTTTCTTTTTGTAATTAATTAATTACAAATTTATTACTAGCCATATATTTTATCTATCTTTTTAATTATAAATTAATTTGGTTATCTTTTATTAATTTTTTTATAGTTTTATTTGGGGATACTTTTATTATGACATCTACAGGGTTACAATTATCATGAATCTAATGGATATCATTTATCTTTCAATTCTTATATAACTGTCTCAAAGTTATTAAATCAATTATTAATTTCTTTTCATTAATATTATCCATTTATATCAAACATTGGTATAGGGAAAAAAAATTGGTATATAGAATAAAGGAAATTTTGATAAGTGATAAGCACTTTAGAATTATGTTAATGATATGATAGATGACGTAGTTAATGTTAAAACTTTGGATTATTTCATATATTTCATTAGTAAGGATATTATAAATAATATATTTATATTTGGTAGATAACCAATGGATAATATTTCTAATAATCCAGATTTTATTATCTTAGCCGGTAAGCCTTTTATTACTTAAGACAATGATGTAATTAATTTGTGAATTTAGGTTCTTATTATTTATAAATAATCTATTAATAAAGGTGTATAGGTGTAGGTTTTATAGGTCTAATTTGACATAGTTGAATCCTTGCATCTGATTATTTATTTATTATTATATCTTAGAATTGAGGACTTTCATTTTTTTAGGATCTGGTTTGAAATATTAGGCTGCTGTAAAATAATTAAAAACAACTTTGGGTTAACAAATAAAGGTAATGTATACACCTCTTATCCTTTGTTCTATGAATCTTTTAATTATATTGGGACTTTTCATATTTAAGAATTCAAGTCTTTTAGCTTGGCTTTTTTGAGTGGTGGAAATCCCAAAATCCCCATTGTAGACAGTGATATATAAATTATTGAAATCTTTGGATCTTAAGTCCATTATTTTTTGAAGGCATGCTTTGATTCCTATCTTAACAAGTGTTATGTCTTTAATAGTGAGAAAATCTGTAGTGTTTATGTTAAGAGTGTCATCTGTTTAAAGTTTTGTGATTTTAAAGGGACCTAAGTCTATTATTAGTAAATAGGGGTTGATAATTGATGGTTTTATATGTAATTCTTGTTGGTGATGATGTGAATAAGTTTTAAATTAATAAGTATTTAATTTTATGAGGTTATATAATGGTTTGATAACTTATAATAATGTTTTTTTAAGGTATTTATTTTTTAATTTAGTTGGTAATTGTATAAAGATTATTTTTTATATTAATGTTTTAAATTAAATATATGTTATGGTTATATTCTGTATTATGATTTTTATTTCTTGATAGTATAATATAGGGATAAGAATTAATATTAATTGTTAATTTATCCTTTAGATAATAGATGCATATATTATGATAAATTCCTTATTAGGATTGTTATATCCTTAGATTATAAGTTATGATTTTTTATAGAAAAAGAAGATGTTCCTGGCCTTGATTTTATAAATTATTCTTGATTTAAAGATTATCACGCTTTAATAAACTGCCTTATCATATATTTCAGATTGTAAAATACCTTTTTTAAATAATATATTCATTTTTTTCATATCTGATACCTTATATAATTTATTTAAGATAACTATCTTTCTGTTTGTTTGTAGCCTAAATGTGAAAATGAAATTATCTTATTCTTTAATAATGAGATATAGAATAATAACATAAAAGAGGTCATTAATATATATAAGATCTTCTTTAAGGATAACTTTAAAATCATTAAGGTTAAATAAGGATAAAAATAATTAAACTTTTAATTTCTTTATTAATTCTAGAATTTCCTTAAATTAAATATATAATTTAATATAGAAATTCTTAAATATTAATATATTATCCAAAATATTAAAGATTATAATCATATTCTTATTAATAATTATAATAATCTTATATAGGCTTTTCTATTTATTTTTTTTTTAATATATTAAGATTTTATTATTAATAAATAATAATATAGATAATATTTTCTATATATTAAGGTTATTCTATATATTCAGAAAGTCTTTAATGAAATATTAAATTTTAATTCTTTTAATTTTCATTATAGCTTTTTAAATTACTTAAGCCTTTTAGGTTTATAATGGAGTAGGTAGGGAATTTATATTAATTTTAGGGTAGATATTTGTGACGAACCTATGCCTCAGAAAGGTATAGTTGTTGTTGGATTGGCTAATCCAGGGTTTTCTTGATTTGAAGATAATAGTATCAATAATAGATTAAATGGTTAAATATATTCTGTTTATCAGAGAGGCTTAGAATCCTTTCATTATACTCAAAAGAATAATCTTAAATTAATAATTAAAGAACTATAGAAAGAGTGATTAGATATATAGGAAATATCCGTGGTTATATAATTACTCCTTCCTTCCTTCCTATCTTGAAATTTGTTGCAATGTGCTGCAATGTATTGCGATGTGTTGCGATGTGTTGCGATGTGTTGCGATGTGTTGCGATGTGCTGCGATATGTTGCAATATATTATATCTTAGCATATCAATCTGGAGTTTAACCGTGATAGATTGCTTATGCTCTATCCCTTATAATCTGACAAGGGTCCCTCATGGATGATTTGTAACATTATATCCCTTCCTTCTGAATTTTTACCCTTAAAGATAAAAAAAAGGTATATATCTTTTTCTTCCTTTATTTCTATGCTTATTGCACAGAAACCATATCTGGGAAGGTATAAAAGTCAAATGTTTATTTTAATTAACGGCAGGAATGCCATACTCGTGTCAACTATATTGAAACTCATGATTAACCCATCCTTCTTTGTTCTAACTGTGACGTTTTCAAAGAAAATTACTTTTTATTCATTGGTTTTGAAGTCTATAACCATTGTACTCATTAGAATCGAAAACATTGCAATATCCTGGAGATAAATGCTTTTGACCGTGTTTCCCAGGCCCGTACTCATCTAGAGCAAGAACGTAAAGATGCAGAAGATGAACTAGTTTATCTATAAGAAAAGATAACAGAGAAGATTAGTAAGTTGCAGTAACTTTATTACTAGGAGGACTTATTAAAAAGGTGTAGTCTAGAGTTGTTAAAACTTGGTAAGGAGCAGGATACCGAGGAAGAACAGGCCCGCCTGGCAGAAGAACGGGCTTGCATTATCAAGGAACAGGTCCAAGTTAAACAGGGACATGGTGTTCCTACCTCTAAGGCTTCTTCCTTGGCCTTCCCCTCCTCCTTGTCTGGGGTAAATTTTGATCTTGGCCCGATGTCACTGTCAACTACAGCCGCATGGACCTTGGTCGGTCAAGGTTCTAACAGTGAAAACCCTTAATTAACCTCTGGACCCTATTACTTATAAGATATTTCCGTGGTTCCCAGGTATTATTCTCCTCCAAATAATCAAGCCATTTGATAAAGTACTCAATCTAATCATTAGTAATCCTAGAATCATAAATGGTTTCAACATTATATTCTTTTGGATCCTCCTCCAGTTCGACATTTCTTTTAAGTTCAACGTCTCCAGGTGCTGGTTCAAGCATAACAATATGAAACATATTGGTTCTTAATTTCATATTTGTTGGTAATTGTAGTCGATAATTTGTTCTTGAAAGGACTTTTTTAATTAAGAAGGGTCCCAGTTTCTTAAAATCTAATTTTTTGTTTGGTCTCTTAGTTTAAATTTAAGATATTTTTAATGTAGAGTGTTGCTTGTCTTGTAAGAAATAAACCTTATTTCCCTTATGTAGAATTGGTCCTTTAATTCTCTTTTTGTTATAGTATGTTATTATTTTGTGTTGTAGAAATTTAAGACATTATTTGAGTTTAGTTTGCAGTGTCAGGATTCTGACAGCAAACATTTCTATTCTAGATGGTACTGTTTTCAATTTTGGGGTAGCCTTGTTTGTTAATGGTTCTTGTTCTATATTTGTTTATTGTCTATATAGTGTTTCCTGTGGTGACATCCTGGTGGTATCGCTGACCAAAGTATTGTATGAGGATATAGCGAGTGGTAAAAGTTCCACCTAGTTATCTTGTTTATAGTCAACGTAACTCTGTAGGTATTGTTCCAATGTTTGATTTAGTTGCTCTGTTTGGCCATTAGTCTAAAGATAAGTCATTGTAGAAAACTTCTGTTTAACCCCCAGTTTTTTTATTAGGCCAACCCAAAATTTTAAGGTAAAAAGTTTGTCTCTATCTGAAATAATCCTCTTTGGTAGCCCGTGTCTGTTAAAGACCTTTTTAATAAATTTGAAAGCCAAATCTTTAGTTGTATAGGTTTCTTTAAATGGCATAAAATATCTGTATTTTGTAAATTTATCAATGATAACCCATATGCCATTATATTCCTTCTTGGTTACCGGATGTTATGATTTGGATAGTTTGGTGATAAAATCCCATGTAATAGTATCCTATGGTCTATCTGGAATGTTAATGGGTTGTAAAAGCCTATATGGTTTATGTCTGGCTTCCTTAATCCTGTTGTAAATGTTATAATTCAAGATAACCTTTTTGATTATTCCCCTAATTCCCAGGAAGTTATATACTTCCTGTAATCGTACAACTGTCTTAAAGATTCCCAAGTGTCCATGTAGAAGGTGTTTGTGTATCTCTCATACAAATTCTTCCTGTAGTGTTGGTGGTATGTAGGTTTTCCCATTATATGATATCATATCCTTAATGATGAAATCCTATATTAATAGAGTATCCTTAATTTGTAAGGTTTCTTTCTTAATCCTTTGTTCCCATTCATATTATGGTTTGATCAGATATACCGCCGACAATACTAAAGTGCCGTTGGATGTTTCCTGGAATATTACCCTTTCTTCTCTAACCTCTTTAATACTGAAACCCTCTGGTCTACTGAGAGTGTCCACCTGAATATTCTCTTTTCCCTTAATATGGTGAATCTTAAAGTTAAAATGTGTAAGATCATCTACCCACCATGATTATCTACTACTAAGAACCTTAGTAATCATGAGAAACTTAAGATTACAATAATCCAAATAGATCTCCAAAGGTTTAGCAATTCCTGATACCCATGGTCTCCACTCCTTCAATGCTTAATAAATAACCATTAATTCTTGGTCATATGTTTTATATTTCATTTTTGATCCCTTAAAAATTTTGGAAAAATAGGCGATTGGATGCCATTTTCCATCATCTTCCAATTGCTCCAATGTTGTTCCTATTGTTCTATTTGAGGCATTGGTATGTAGTTATTTCCTTTTGTTTGGGCTGGGTAGCTTTATTACTGGATCTTTTGTTACAATCTTCTTCATTTCTTGGAATGCTTTTTCTGTTTCTTATATCCATTTAAAATCCTTTGGATTTTTGACATGTATTATAGCCATTATTGATTCCATGATTTTCCTGAAATCCTTAATTAAGGCTTTGTTGTAGTTGTAGAAACTGTGGAAGGTTTGTATTCCCGTGATGATTTTTGGGGTTAGCCATTCCCTTATTATGGATATTTTGGATTTCTGGATTTTGATTTTTCTTGGAGAAATTGTATATCCAAGATAGTTAAGTTTTTAAATGAAAAAATCATTCTTATCTAGGTCTATGAAAAGTTTAGCTTTTCTTAGGGCTTTAAGTACTTCGTGTACATCTTTCTCATGTTGTTTTTTGGTTCTTGAATGGATTAGAATGTCGTCTAAGTATACAAAAGTGTTCTTTCTGAGGAATTATTGTAGAACATCCTGGATCATTTGTTGAAAGGTGGCTGATGTATTTGTAAATCCAAATAGCATTACCAGACATTCAAAATGACCGTGCAATGTTCTAATAGCTATCTTCCATTTGTCTCTTTCAGTAATTTGTATAAGGTTGAAAGCAAACTTCAGATCTAATGATGTGAATCATTTGTCATTACCTATTTCTTCTTTTAGGCTCTTAATGTATGGTAGAGGATGCCCATCTTTAACCATAATCTCATTTAGTTGTTGGTAATCATAGATATCCCTCTATACTACTTTTCCTTCCTTGTTTAGCTTAGGTATCCCATCCTTGTTCTTTTTAGATACTAAGAAAATTGGGTATCCTGCTGATGATTTTGATTTTTGTATAAACCCTCTTGCCTCCTTATCTTGGAGTATAACACGTAGGGCTTTGGATTTATTCTGACTTAATCTATAAATTTGGTGTAGTTTTGGATGTTTCCCTTCCTTTAATATTATTTTATGGTTATATTGATTATATTCCGGTACGCCTATATCCATATCTGGATTATCCTGGAATAATTTTGGAAACATTTTTATATATTTTTCTTTGATTTTAATTTGTTTTTGATCATTTGATTCTTTGATATCCATATGTCATATCATAAGGCATAGAGGTACAGAATGTTCCTTTGTAAGATTGCCTATTTGCACTTGCTATAATTACTATTTCGATTTGTTTGAGTTGGCCTTTTTCCAATACTCAGGGGTTGAATCTTTTTCTGGTTTATCCTAATAAAATTGATCTTGCATTCAATCAATTCTTGGATTGCTAGTTCTGAGCTACGTCTTTCCTAAAATTAATTTATAGTTTGTGTCAATAAGATCAAAAGATACTAACTCCTGGTATCCTTGGATTAAGATAGAGAGAGCTGTAGTTTCTCTCTTGATTTTTCCTCCATCGTAGGTAATGAAGCTTTTGTCGATGTTGCTGACTTGGTAAGGCATTTTCTTTTTTTGATACAGTATTCCATATATATTGACCAATCTTAGATGGATCAAATTAACTGTATATCCTGAGTCAATCAGGGCATTAAATTTATATTCTTTCCATATTATCTTTATGATTAAGTGGGGTCCTTTGGTTGTTCCTACTGAACATACTGGCTTAACCTTGTTTAATATTGTCTATAGGATTTTCAACAGTTTTTCCACCATATCCTACTATTTATTAATTATATCAATCATTCTTTGTGACAGGTTTACTAGTTATTCAGTTTTTTTTTGGAAAGCTGTAGTCTTACTTTCTAAATGTTATATTTCCCTTTAAGACTGGTCAATCATCTCCCTGTATCGTAGTAATATCTGTTCGTAATGTCCACCCAGGATAGCATTTAGATACTGGGCCATTTGCTTCAGATATCCGCGAACAGGTTTAGTTAGGGTGATTTTGCCTTGTTTTTCTTTGTAAAGTATTGCGTGGGAGATCCTATGCATATTCCTATAACATCATCGCACAAATTCCCAATCCCATCCATTTCTAATTACCCCCTTATAATCCAAATCTTCAAATGTTTTCAGGGTAAATAGTTCCGGTATTCCTTGTCCTTTAAATATTCTTCTAGCAATGTTTTTGTGGGTTCTCCCGTAATTCCATCTCCTGCATTTTCGGGTCCGTACTTTGTTGCTTTTAGATGTATATCTTGGGTCCATTGGGTTACCAAGATTGTAATAATAATAGTCCATTTGCTTAATTAGCCATATGTGGTATATTAATTCCGGTTCGGGGATTCGATTCTATCCTTCCTCATCATTAGAATCTTATCAGTCCCATATCACCTGCTGGTGTAGTTGTGTTCTATCGAAGTGTGTTAGAACAACATTTTTATCTAGTAGTAATATAGCAGAGATGTTTTGGTTGTTAATCTATATTGAAAACATCATTTTTCTTTTTATTTTTCTTTCCATGTTCCAGTCCACGTCCCATAATGGCCTTTGTTCATTCGAAGAAGAGCTGGATTCCTCTGAAGAGATATTCATTTCTTCTTCTTTGGAATCCCTTATGCTTATTGTACTAAGATTCCATAACTGATTTATTTGGTCCATGAAACTCTCCATTTCTATTTATTAGGTGGCTTTGTTATAGTCCAATGATGGGTTTTCCTATTCTTCTTCTTCTTTGAGAATGTCGAATATTCCTAAGGTTAAGGATCCTAATATTGTCGTTATTGCATTAGCTGATCTTCTTTTTGGGACTTGTGGCTATTTCTTGGGTTTCTTACATTAGCTTTTATAATATCCCATTTCTTGGTAATTATAGTACTTGACCTTACTCAAATCCTTCTTAGGTTTCTTATCATTACTAATTATGTTTAGGCTCTAAATCTTGACAGGTTCCCTTTTTCCCTGATTTTTCATTACTTTAGAACCTCTCTTTTTCTTATTATATCTTTTATATAACCTATTATTGTGAAGAATTACCCTGGTCATATATTCATCGATAATGACAGGTTGTTCTTCTTTAAAAAATTCA